TTTTTTTTCTAGCTTTCTGTCTGTATCTCTCCTTCTCTCCCTCCTTCGCTTTCATTCCTCTACCTCCCCTCCTCCTCTCCCCTCCTCCCAACCCCTCCTCCCTCCACCTCTTCTCCCTCATCATCATTATCATTATTATTCTCTCTCATTTCCTCCGCTTTCAGTATGACTGACGCGCAAACTTTTCGTCGCTGGGTTGTGTGCGTGATCAAGCGCTCTCCTTGGCCGCTCGTTCGTTCCTTTCGCCTCGTTCGCCGGCGCTGCGGAATCTTAGTCGCTCGCGTGTGTGCGTGCGGGGCTGGAAAGAGTAGAGAGCATGTGCGCACTCCGTCATTGAATTTTTTCCCAATCTGTTTCTCTTTATGCATATATGCGCGCTTGTCCACGCATGCACACACGCACACGCAAAGGCACACACACACACACACACACACACACACACACACACACACACACACACACACACACACACACACACACACACACACACACACACACACACACACACACAAAAAAAAAAAAAAAAAAAAAATAAAAGGCGCACACACACACACACACACACACACACACACACACACACACACACACACACACACACACACACATATTCTTATACAAATGCATAAGTAAACGTATGTAAATATTTGCTTCATTAGTTTATTCATTTGCCTACTTTATCCTTTGTCTGTTTATTTATTTATTTATTAACCCAAACATTCTCTCTTTTTTATATTCATGAATGTATGCTATTCTTGGAAGTATAGAAACAGTTACGTATAAGTATAATTTCAGAGAAAAAAAAAACGAATTTTAGTTGTTTATATTTATGAACTCGTGGTGGCATGAATGAGGATTATTGTTTTTCCGGTGTGTCTGGCTGTCTGTGCGTATCTGTCTGTACGTGCGTATCTGCTTGCCTGTATGTCTGTAAATCTGTATACCTGCGCCTTTGTGTATGTACGTATGCAAGCGTGTGTCTACATCTCTGTATTTACATGTGTGTGTGTGTGTGTCTGTCCGTGCGTGCGTGCGTGGGCGTGCGTGGGCGTGAGTGTCCCACGGGGTCGGGCCCAGCACTGGCCACTTGACGTCGCCTGAGCCGTCACTTCCTCCCCCCCCTAAGGGAAGAGCCGATGAGCCGGTGCCCCCCCCCCCCCCACCTTGCCACCAGCCACTTGCAGCCTCCCGAACGGCGTGGCTGAGGCGTGCCTCCCGCCGCCCACACCCCGGCCACCCGTTGCCGCCCACAGATCCCCGCCCGCTATCAAGAGGGGGGGGGCAAGGTGGGTGGAGGGGAAGGCGGATTGGTGAATGAGAGTGAGTCGGATAGAAAGTGAGAGAGAGGGAGAGCGAGGGAGGGGGAGAAGAGAGAGGGAAAGGGAGAGGGAGAGCGAGGGAGGGGGGAGGGAGAGTGAGAGTGAAAGCGAGAGCGAGATCGAGGGAGGGGGAGAGGGAGAGGGAGAAAGAGAGGAAGAAAAGATAAGAGAGAGAGAGGAAGAATAGAGAAGAGAGAGAGGGGAAGAAAAGAGAAGAGAGGGAGAGGAAGAAGAGAGAAGAGAGGGAGAGGAAGAAGAGAGAAGAGAGAGAGAAAGAAGAAGAGAGAAGAGAGGGAGAGGAAGAAGAGAGAAGAGAGAGAGAAAGAAGAAGAGAGAAGAGAGAGAGGGGAAGAGAGAAGAGAGAGAGAGGGGAAGAGAGAAGAGAGAGAGGGGGGAAGAGAGAAGAGAGAGAGAGGAAGAAAAAGAGAGAGAGAAAGAGAGGGGGGGAGAAGAGACAGACAGACAGACAGACAGAGAGACAAACAAACAGAGACATATAGATAGAGACAGACAGACAGAGACAGACAGACGGAGACAGACAGACAGAGAGAGAGAGAGAGAATGAGAGAGACAGGCAGATAGAGATATGGGGGGGGGTGAGAGAGGAGAAGGAGGAGGGTGGAGGAGGAAGTGCCAGAGATCGAGCCAGGGTGGAACGGGGGCGGAGGAAGAGTGTGGGAAAGGAAGGCTCGTGAGCTGGGAGAGAGAGACAGAGGGAGGGAGAAAGAAAGAGAAAGAGGGAGAGGAAAAGAAAGAGAAGGAGAGGGTTAAAGAGAGAAAGGGGGAATGGAAGGAAGAAGGAGAGAGAAGATCGAACACTTATACAAAATCGGTGTCAGTAATACTGGTAAAAAAAAGGAGGAGAGAGAGAGAGAGAGAGCGAGAGAGAGAGAGAGAGAGAGAGAGAGCGAGAGAGAGAGAGAGAGAGAGAGAGAGCGAGAGAGAGAGAGCGAGAGAGATAGAGAGAGAGAGAGAGAGCGAGAGAGATAGAGAGAGAGAGAGAGAGAGAGAGAAAGAAGGAGAGAGAGAGAGTGAGAGAGAGAGAGAGAGAGAGAGAGAGCGAGAGAGAGAGAGAGCGAGAGAGAGAGAGAGCGAGAGAGAGAGAGAGCGAGAGAGAGAGAGAGAGAGAGAGAGAGAGAGAGAGAGAGAGAGAGAGAGAGAGAGAGAGAGGAGAGAGAGAGAGAGAGAGAGAGAAAGAAGGAGAGAGAGAGAGAGAGAGAGAGAGAGAGGAGAGAGAGAGAGAGAGAGAGAGAGAGAGAGAGAGAGAGAGAGAGAGAGAGAGAGAGAGAGCGAGAGAGAGCGAGAGCGCGCAAGGACGCCAGCGAACTCTCCATTACCCAGTAGTGGCTCAACCCTGTACTTATCGCATCACGTCCAGGCTCTCACCCTTTGCTCTCCCTGATCCCTCTCACGACCCGTGGCGCCCGTAACCCTTCCACGCGCGCTCCCACACTCGCTCATTCACTCTCCCGCTCGCTCTCACTCCTCGCTCGCATGCTCAGCCACTCGCATTCCGGCTCATCCGTATACTTCATCCACTCTCATTCATTCATTCACTCTCTCTCTCTCTCGCTCTCTCTCTCTCTCTCTCTCTCTCTCTCTCTCTCCCTCCCTCCCTCCCTCCCTCCCTCTCTCACTCCATCCCTCTTGCACTCACTCCGTAGCTCCCTCCTTCCTCCTACTCTCACTCCCTGACTTTCTCCCTCCTACACACTCTCGCTCCCTGTTGCTTGCTCTTCTTCACTCTCACCCCCTCCCTTCGCACTCACTGATAACTCTTCTGTTTCTGTTGGAGCTTGTGACTCGTGTTTTTTTTTTTTTTAGTTTAATTCTCACTTTTTAATGTCCTCCTCTCTTGCTCCCTCCCTTCGTCCCTCCCTCCCTCTTTCCCTCCCTCTTTCCCTCCTTGTCTTCCTCCCTTCCGCCCTCCATCCTTTCTTCCTCTCTCCCTCCATCCTTTCTTCCTCTCTCCCTCCATCCTTCGTTCATCTCTCCCTCCATCCTTTCTTCCTCTCTCCCTCCATCCTTCGTTCATCTCTCCCTCCATCCTTTCTTCGTCTCTCTCTCTCTCTCCCCCCTCTTACGCCACTGTATCTCCTGCGAAATAATAAAAAGGAAGGCGGAAGTAAGAATGGGAAAAAAAATCATGAACTAAGAACGAAAAAAATGATTAAAAAAAAACATCAAAGAATAGAGGCAGAGAGACAGAAGAGAAGAGAGAGAGAGTGAGAGACAAGAGGGGAAGAGAGAGGAAAGAGAAGATAAAGAAATTAAATATTTTTCGGGGGGGGGGGGGAAGGTGTGGGAAAGAACAAAGTGTAGGGGGGGGGGACGAAAGGATGGGGGGGGTGGGGTGGGGGTGCTGATCTGTTTATTATAAGAGATTGAGGTTTGGGGGGGGGCGATAGGAGGGGATGAGGTGAAGGGGTTAAATAGGGGGGGGGGAGAACGAAGAGGTGAAGGGGGGAGGGGTGGAGGGAGGAGGTGGGGTGAAGGGGTTAAAGAGTGGGGGGGGGGGCGAAGAGGTGAAGGGGTAAGGAGGGGGGAGGGATGATATGCAGCTGATGATATCATTTCGAGAGTAACGCCCCCTTCCCCTTTGCACCCCCCCTCCCCTCCCTTCTCCCCTCCCCCCTCCTCTCTGCCCCTCTCCCTAAAGCTTTTGAACCTGTATTAGGAGTAATAACGAAACCCTCATTGCTACTTGCAGGCTGTCCGTTGCCGTTTTTTCTTTCTTTCTTTCCTTCCTTCTTTTCTTTTGTGTTTTTATACCTTTCCCCTTTCTCTCTCTCTCTCTCTCTCTCTCTCTCTCTCTCTCTTCCTCTCCCTCTCTCTCTCTCTCTCTCTCTCTCTCTCTCTCTCTCTCTCTCTCTCTCTCTCTCTCTCTCTCTCTCTCTCTCTCTCTCTCTCTCCCTCTCTCTCTCTCTTTATCACTTTCTCTCTCTCCCTCTCTCTCTCTCTCTCTCCCTATCTCTCTCTCTCTCTCTCTCTCTCACTCTCTCTCTTTATCACTTTCTCTCATTTTCTCTCTCTCTCTCTCTCTCTCTCTCTCTCTCTCTCTCTCTCTCTCTCTCTCTCTCTCTTTTATCACTTTCTCTCATTCTCTCTCTCTATCACTTTCTCTCCCTCTCTCTTTTTTCTCTCTCTTTCTTTTTTTCTCTCTTCTCTCCCTTTTTTTCTCTCTTCTCTCTTTTTCTCTCTTTTTTCTCTTTTTTCTCTCTTTTTTCTCTCTTTCGTTTCTCTCTCTCTCTCTCTTTTGTTTCTCTCTCTTTCTTTCTTTTTTTCTTTCTCTCTCTTTCTTTTTTTTTCTCTTTCTTTTTTTTCTCTCTCTCTTTCTTTTTTCTCTCTCTCCCTTTTTTTCTCTGTCTCCCTTTTTTTTTCTCTCTCTCTCCCTTTTTTCTCTCTCTCTCCCTTCTCTCTCTCTCTCTCCCTTCTCTCTCTCTCTCTCCCTTCTCTCTCTCTCTCTCCCTTCTCTCTCTCTCTCTCCTCTCTCTCTCTCTCTCTCTCCTCTCTCTCTCTCTCTCTCTCTCTCTCTCTCTCTCTCTCTCTCTCTGTCTTTCTATTTATCCTTTTCTCTGATTACTGGCTGCTGTGTTGTAATTGTTTCTGTCATTGTTTGCGCTTCATCGGATAATATAAACAACAAGATTTATTTACTAACACCGTATCTCTTCCTTCCCACAG